AGTTTCCCTCTGACTTTGCCCTGGTACCCATTATGAACAACCTGGCTAAGGAGAGCAAGCACAGCAGCAGCAGCCTTGAGGAGGAGGTAAGTGCAGCTGCCCCCCCCTTGGGGAAGTGGGGCTGAGCTTGGTGCCACAGGTGCTCAAGGGCCAGGCTGGGCATTTGACCTCTGCTGCCCAGGGTTCCGAGCAGTCCGCACCACCATCCAGCCCCCTCCCCCACATAGCCTGAGAGGAACAGTGAGGCTCCTCCAGTGAACCATGCCTTGGCACTTGCCCTGGTCCTACCCCCTTCTGCCAGAGACCCTCAGATTTGTCCCACTCCTGCCCAGGCCCCCACAGGCACCATTGACGTGAATAATGTAGAGCTAGCCATGCTCACCCAGTAGGCCACACCCACTCCCTCCACGCCAACGCCGGTAGGCCGCACCCACCCTGGCTACACCCATCCGGCCCCCCCAAGGGCAACTGCAATGCTGATGCGGCCCTCAATGAAATTGAGTTTGACACCCTTGCTGTAGTAAGATAGAAGAGCAAGGTATTCCTCTGAACCAATGCTACATTTCCTACCAGTTACAGCCAGTACATTGGAAAAGGATACTGGACACTGAACTTTGAATAATTTATTGCCTTAATAAATTAATTAGTCTGAAATAAAGTCAGTGGTGGCTTGCAAATATTTATTAATAAAATGTGTTTTCAGCAGGCATCCCAGAACCAAGGAAACCAAAGTGAATGTAAGAGTTATCTATCGATTTTTAAATTGGTAGAAAACTGTGGAATTTATTTTTTTCATATAATTTTTATTAAAGGTATTTTTTAAAAGAAGAGAAAAACTAATATAAAGTAAACAAAATTAAAGTAATCAAAGAGGAAGCTAAAAGTGCAAGAAAAGAAAGAAAAAAGTAAAAACTAAAATTGAAAAGAAAGAAAAAAGACACAAAGAAGTAGCTTCTGATCTTCTTTGTATCTGTTAAAAGTACAATTATAAATTTACCTTCAACTTTGTGATTACAGTATAACTTTCTTCTTTCTATAATTTATCCTGTCTAACCATTAAAACCATAAACCATAAATTCATTTTTTCTATTTTACACAAAAAGTCCTTAGGGGGTTTCCTGTCAGGAATAAGGATAACTATTGTCTTTGATTAAAGAAGTCAGTTTAGCGATCTCAGCAAAATCCATAATCTTCATTGTAAGTACTTAATCTTTCCATCTTTGGGCATATAATAATCATAGTGCAGTTATCATGTAAAAAAATCTAACTTTTTTCCTACAATTTATCCGTCAATATGGATATAGTTTTCCTATAAGAAAAACCTCTGGCCTCAATTTCATGTTAATCTTTAAAATCCTCTGAATCAGCATATGTATTTTAATCTGGAATTTTCTAGCTTTTTTTGTACATCCACTACAAATGTTCCTTCTTGTGTCCACATTTCCAGTGTAAATGTGAAGTACCTTTATATATTCTTGACAATATTTTCCTACGTATACTATAACCAATTTTTTTAGCTCAATGTATCATACATTCTTTTACGGTACTTGTTTTTCAGTTTCAAATTTCAGTAAAAGTTCATACATTTTAGCAATTACATGTTCATTGTAATCTATTTGTATCTATTCAATCCAGTGTGGAATTTATTGACCCAACTGCCAATCTCTGTCCTACCTTTATCATCCCTGATCTGTTTCATTACTAAAAGGTGATGTTTTGAAAATGTGTGTACATCACATGATAAGCAAGGTGGTTGATTGAATCCTCTGTCTTTGTAGCCTCTCTATACTGTTTATCAATAGTTGATTATAAAAACATCCACCAGTCAGAGCTTTGCTGGATAAATGGTTGCAAGGCCATGGGTCTCAACAAATTCTTCCACCTCCTTGATGGAAAGTCAGGAGGGGGAGCAAAGGGTGCTTTGATTTACCTCCTTCACACATTTTATAAACAAGGTTCTCATGTGAAAGAATTCTCTCTTCCCACAAAGAAGTGGAGAAAGAACAAAGAAGAAAATTTGAATCACCCTTCCAAGTGATCTTCCCTCTGGACCCATGAAAGGGCTGAACAGAGTCCAGGGGCCTTATCTGAGTGGTGGGATTCAGCTGGTTTGCACCACTTTGGCAGTCCAGAATGGACTTCCAGAAGCGGTATCCACACAGAGAACCGGTTGTTCACATATTTGAATCCCACCACTGCCTTATCTGAATCAAAGGAGCCCCAGTGTAGCTTAGTGGTTTGCTCTAGGAGGGACAGTCAGTTGGGTAGGTTGTTCCTGTAAGGTGAAAGCTAGAAAGAGCCCCTTCAGTACCAACATGTGCACTGAAGAAGCAGGAGTGAGCTGTAACAACTGTCTCAAATGCTTGTCGAATGGCTTCATAGACACAGGAGTGTCTATGAAGTCTTTGTTCCATTTTTCCTTCAATAGAAACTTCCAACTTCCAGAGGCAGTGGATCAGGAATAAACATGTCTTTCCTGGGAATTAAAGCTTTTTCTTTTTTTTTAAAAAAAAAATAAGGTTTATCTTCAGCAACAGTCTTTCTAATACTGTAGGACACAATGTTACTTATCCTTTATCAGGTTGGTGGTGCTTCTGGGAATGCAACAGCTGATGGCCCACCTATGATAGATTACAAAAGAATGATTAAAAGTAATTTGTGTCTCAGTTTGTGTGTCACCACGTTGAACCTAACGAATTAGTCCTTGTGCAAGCATTTGTGATGTCTTAAATCTGTCCAACTCATGAGGAATGGAAAAGATGACAGCAACAATGTAAGGATATTTCAGAAGAAAAGATGCTGCCAGGACATGTACTGTATATGCTGTGGGGAAAGGGCCTCTGCCTGGTAAAAAAAGAAATTAATCTTCAGGATGGGTCTATGCAAATTATTAGCCTATGTTTATGTGAATGGAGAGTGTGATTTTTTTCTGCTGACTCTGTTACTATTCAAAATTCATCTTGGACATTCCTCATATTAGGGTGCATCCTGAAAGACACTATTAATTAAAAGGCATTTTTCTTTCCTTTAGTGTTTTGCATATGTAAGGTTAAAGGAAGTTGAGGAAACAGTGGAATAATTATTTTGTTGTTTGGACTCCCCATGAAACTTTGGAAAGGAGGCAGAAAAGACCTGATCTGGAACCTTTGTTGCCCATGTTCTTGTCTTTGAATTTTTATTGGAGCTTTTTTTTTTTTTTTAGTGCTCCGGCTTTTTCACCTTTATTTGTATGTTTTAAGAATAAAACATTTGTTGAATGAATAATTATGTCATTTTAATTTATAGCTCTATATATTTAGAGTACCACAAAACTAAGGGATTTTTGATGGGGGATATCATTCCAAAAGAAATGGTTCAGAACAGAATATGCTTTTGATATTTTTCTTTCCAGGAACAACACACATTTTTAAGTGCTTGTTGTCAAAGCCCTATTTGATACATTTGGAAATGTAAGTTATTTTGTTGTAATTTTCTAGGATAGGAAAATGGCCAGATTCCAGGGCATTACAGGAAGTGGCCTTTGGTTCACCTGGAAACAGTGATCCTGAGGGCAACAGTTTAGTTATAAAAATAAAAATGGATATCAGCCATTTTGAAACCAAGTCTCTGCCCAAAAATAGTGCAGGAAGCAAAAAAATAAACCTCTATTTATTTCTGTACAAGTATAGCCAATCTTTATTTTAGTCAGGAAACATAAAAAGAGTCAGTCTTTTTAAGAAAACATGTCAAATAACATCACTTCAGATGACATCCAAAATATGGGCATATAATATTGTAACAAAATATTTATTTTAAAGCTACATTCCACAAGAAAAGCCATCATTTAATATCATCTAAAACTAAAACTATAATCCCAACCAAGAATCTGGAAAAAATAGGATCTGGGAAAAAATTTTCCTTATACAGGTAGTAGTAGTAGTAGTAGTAGTAGTAGTAGTAGTAGTAGTAGTAGTAATAGTAGTAGTAAAGTTGGAAGGGACCTTGGAGGTCATCTAGTCCAACCCCCTGCTCAGACAGGAACCCTGCACCATTTCAGACAAATGGCTGTCCAGTCTCTTCTTAAAAACTTCCAGTGTTGGAGCATTCACTGCTTCTGGTTGTTCCATTGGTTAATTGTTAATTGTTCTAACTGTCAGGAAATTTCTCCTTAGTTCTAAATTGCTTCCCTCCTTGATTTATTTATTTATTTTATTTATTTATTTATGAGACTTATATACCGCTTTAAGTGCAAGCACTCTCTAAGCAGTGTACACCAGTAAGCAATGTATATATATATTTACATTGCCCCCAACAATCTGGGTCCTCATTTTACCTACCTCGGAAGGATGGAAGGCTGAGTCAACCTTGAGCCGGTGAGATTTGAACCGCTGACCTGCTGAACACAGTCAGCTAAAGTGGCCTGCAGTACTGCACTCTAACTGCTATGCCACCTCGGCTCTTGATCAGTTTCCATCCATTGCTTCTTGTCCTGCCTTCAGGCGTCTTGACTCCCTCTTCTTTGTGGCAGCCCCTGAGCTATTAGAACACTGCGATCATGTCCCCCCTCGTCCTTCTCTTTGTTAAACTAGACATACACAATTCCAGCAGCCATTCCTTATATGTTTTAGCCTCCAGTCCCCTAATCATCTTTGTTGCTCTTCTCTGTACTGAGTTACAAACACAATTGAGCCCAACATTTATGTCGCTTGAAAGTCTTGTATGTACAGTACAAGTATTCATTACTTTTATTCTGGAATGAATTTGACATAACCTTATTTACAGAATTTGGAGAACCAAAATAATTTGTCCTTATTAAGAGGTTGAATGTACCTGTATTTCTAGGACTGTATCATCAGCTTCATCAAGGTGCCTTTTTTTTCTATGAAAAGAGGCTGTTCAAGAAAGCTCAGTTGTTTCTATGTATGCAACAGTTTGAACATTTGTTGATTGTAGAATCTCTTCAATAAATACATTTACCTCTCTTTCTACCACCACCCTCCCTCCTGTTTTTATCTCTTTAGCCACCGCTGGTCCAAGCAATTTTCAATGGCGATCCTGATGAGATACGCATATTAATCTACAAAACTGAAGATGTTAATGCGTTGGTAAGGAACTTCATACGTTTCTTTTCTAATTCTGTTGGTGTTTCATCAATAGGAGGAAAATGTCTGGTGGAGGTGAGACAAGATTCATAGCAAAGTCAGGAATCTTTCAGAATAATTTTCTCTGCCTCTTACCTTCAAAGTACAATTGTGATTTGGTAAACTACCACAAATAATTCCTCCTTTTTTTGTTAACTTAATACATGCTAAGCTCACACAGGTATTCCAATATTGAACCATGTGACCTTGTGCTTGGAAATAGAATCGAGCAGTTCTGCTCCCATCCTCTATGGATGGTCCCCGGTGTTCTCTTCTTACATTCTTCATGGAAGTGCTTTTTTGTTTGTTTGTATTTGCTGCTGCATAGTATGTTGTTTTTGTAATCCACTGCAATAACATTTTTATGGTGAGGTGGTTAGTCATCAGCTAGACAGTAAATACTGACATTTCAAAAATAGTAGCTGCTCTTCTGGGGCAAGATGATGTGTTTGTTACTAAGACTACAAAATTTGCAAGGCATTTATTTAAAAGACTAGGAAGATGTGTAAAACTTGCATTTTTTTGTGAGATACAACTTATAGTGTAAGGAAAAAATTCCAGAGGGCAGGCAAATTTAACAAAAATACAAAGGCTTTGTGACACATTAAAAGTATCAGATCTTTAAGACATTTGTGGGACACTTTGATTGTATGCAAGATAAACACAGCTTCTGTTAACAGTATTTATTCAAACTACATGGATTAATTGCCATCAAATCAGTGTTGACTCTTAGGGACCATATAGAGAGATTTTCTTTAGGAGGGTCTGTCCTCAACCTGGTTCTTCAAATCTTCAAATAGCACACCCATTATCACATTTTCCCTCTCCTTTTATTACTCTTTTTACATTGATCCTTAACAACTTTAAGTCCATTTCACAGTTCCATTGGCTCCCAATGAGGTTTGGGACTTCAAAGTGATCCCTGATGTTCTCCTTGAAAGTAATGGGAGTGTGCTTAAGACTACATCAGTGAAGGTGGTTGGCTTTCTTCTGCTGTTAGTTTAACTTGGAATTTTCACCTGAGCAATTTATGATCCATTCCACAATCAGCCTCTGACTGTGTTTGCTCTTATAATTGAGTACTTTCTACTTCCTTGTGCCATTAATGTGGACAATTTGATACCTCTATGTATTCTGTTTGGTAATGTCCACGTATAAAGATGTTCTGTATGGCAACATCAATAACTAGATGTCCTGAAGGCTTTAATATAACTATGTCACAATCACCATTAGTATTCCGAGAGATCCTTAGCTCTTCCTCAGAAGCATGCTGAATACCATGCATTATGAGGTGGGGCCATCATCAGGCACTGATGATCACCAATCATTTTATAATTTGCATTCACGTGGTCTTCTTGTAAAATATTGGTATAATAGGAACAGTTTACCATTGGTTTCTGTATTACAATATGAAATGATACCTTACTCTTTATCATTAAAATGATCTTCTGCCTCCAGCATCTTTCCATTTAGTTACTGACCAATATAGCCACCTGCTTGCTTTAGGTAGGTAGTTGGGATGACCATCATATCTTGGATGACTCTGTTGGATTGTATATTCTTGACATACGCTTCTCCCCTCTCATGATGAGGCTACATAGCAGTTCTTGGTGGTTGGGAGTGTGTGATTCCAACTGAGTGATAGAATTGCCTTTCTTGAAAAGGTGTACTTTGGTGGTTCTCTTTTAAGTTTCTTTATTCAAGAAAGAGCAAATAAAATGGGTAATTGCTTGTTATTTAGATTAGCTTGCATTTAAACATCTAGGTTGTTCTCCAGTCCTGATCTGGAATAAAGCAAATGAATCCTGATGAGTTCATGCATGTTTTCTCTCACTTTAGATATTTGTAAAGCTGGATGAATAGAAAGATTCAGGGTTTGGTTTGGCAATGAATTTTTAATGGCAACAGAACTCCTATTACACAGGTCTTCTGCAGTTAATGAAAATAAAATAATTAAACACAATATAATTTTGCTGCATAGCATATAATAAAACAGAATTTAAAAACATGGATGGATTAATAGATAAAACTGCCATCTTATATTTAAAGTATCTTTTATTCTTTGTATGAAAATATACTAAATATACTTTTCAAACTTTAAATAATAGGACATTTGTAGATAAGCTAAAGCTCTCAGAGCATGTGTGTTTCCTATGATTTTTCAGGTAGAGAAATAGCATATTTATGATTGTTGAATTCCTTACTATTCTTATTAGTAAGAACTAGGAATAGGAGCTTAGAACAAATTCTACTAGCTGTTTAACAAGTCAGTGATTCTGATTTATTTTACAGCCTAAGTTTATTTTAAAGCACAAAATAGTTAACAATAATGAAAGAAGTGTGTCAAGGTTATGTAGTTATATTTATTTAACTTATGTGCAGAATGTATCTTTAAAAAGCTGGCTAGAAGAAAGAGAATTTAAATTAAAACTGCTAGGAGAAACATTAATAGTTTTGAATATTTTAATGATACCACCTTGATAGCAGCAGCAGGCAAGTAGGCTTTCTGCTTTTTACCGAGATTAAACCAATTTACTGTTTCAATCTTCTTAAATTTAAATCTCTTACATTTTTGAAACTTTATGCAGTGTGGTCACTAATCCACTCTCAGCTATATTTCAGCTACGGGTTAGCTGTGTTTTAGCCGTATTTTTGATATCCCGAGCTGGGCCTCAGCTATGGGAATGCCTTGCTGCTGCTTTTTGTTTTTTGCTGTTGCTATATAGGTTTTTCTGCTTTGTCAGGAAACCTAGTATTTTCTAGTTTTGAGTAATTTTATTTGAGCTATTTATATACCTACTACTTTTTACCATTTCTTTTTTATTAGTATTTTCTTTTTACTATTTTGTGATTTTTTATTCACTCCCTACTCCTTGCTTTGGCGGGAGGGTAGGATTTTTGCCTTACTTGTGAGAAGCCTTTCTATTGTTTGCATTGGGACTTGCTTGTTCTTGACTCTTGGCCCTTGGCTTTTTTGGATCCAGGACTTGTCTTGAGGATTAGTCTCTTGTTATATTACACTGCTCCTCCTTTATTGTGTTATTTAACACAATGAAGACAAAGGAAAGGTGCAGATCCCTTACTAACCTGGTTCCTCAACCATTTTTGAAACAATCCAAGATGGAAGACTTTGTTTTGGCTTGGCCTCTTTGTTTGAAAACTCCAGCTCCTTTTTTACTGGCTGCTGCGAGTCATGGCGATCCTTCGATGGTTGAGGGTGTCACCCCTCAAGTTGAGAACAAAGGCTCCCTTAAAGCTACGGTCCCCAATTGATCTTTAAACGAGCCTACCTTTACAGAACTTCTGGCTCAGCAATGTTTCCTGGTTGCAGATAAAACAGCGAACATACAGCTCCAGCTTGATAAAGTAATAAGTACCCTAAATTGTTTGGTTTCTTGAGTTGCTAGTGGTAATGCTGGGCTGGCCACTTGGCATCCCGATGCGGTAGCAGGGCCTCCCCTGTCAAGCCTCAGCAAAAGATCTGCTCAATGTAACCCTGCCGAGGTGGCGCAGCAGTTAGAGTGCAGTACAGCAGGCCACTTTAGCTGACTGTGTTCAGCAGGTCAGCGGTTCAAATCTCACTGGCTCAAGGTTGACTCAGCCTTCCATCCTTCCGGGGTAGGTAAAATGAGGACCCAGATTGTTGGGGGCAATGTAAATATATATATACATTGCTTACTGGTGTACACCGCTTAGAGAGTGCTTGCACTTAAAGCGGTATATAAGTCTCATAAATAAATAAATAAATCAACAGTTCGAACCATTTCCTAGATGCAAACGGTCACCTGGTTTTACAGCCAAAACAGATGGCCCTAAATATTAATCCTATTAACGGCTACTTGCCGTGCTGGGGCTCAGTATGGCTGGCAAGGGGTCATATACTACAGCTATTGGGGTTGGAAGCTGATGATTTGAAGAAGGTTGAATTTTTACCCTCCTCTATATACTGCACTCGAGTGTTACTTAGTTTTGACAATTCTAACACCCCAAAACTATTCTTCAAGAGAAGATCTCTATTAAGGTTTTTTGGCATTTTGCCAAGAAGAGTCTTCAAAGATATGTCGACTAAGCCTCTTTTAAGTAATCGACCACCTGTGAGTGTTAGGAGAATTACTGCCCCTAAAAGATCTTCAGTAGCATGTGTTAATGTGCCAACCTTGAATGTCGTCTCTGATATTAGTCCATCTACTAAATATACATCTGTGCTTGTAAAATCTCCTGATGGTGCCCTCTCTGATGGGGTTTTGACTGATCTTCCTACTGTCAATCCAACCAACGCCTCTCAGCAAGTAACATCTCTTCAGAATCCTTGCCTTGATTTGATCATTCTGGGAAGAAATGGCCTCAAAGGAAGCGACATCAGCCCAGGGTATTCAAGGCTTCTTAGCGAATAAGCCCCAGGCCAGTGACTCTGGGATTCCATCTATTCATGTGACTGACTTATCTCAAGATAATTTCTGGAACCAGGAGGAGATACAGCTCTTCGACTCCTTTCGTGTGCTCCCACATTCAGAAAGGACCCAAATTATTAAGCGTCTGGCTGCAGTTAAAGCCAAGCTTTGGAGTCTCTCACTATCTGATAAGGATTTCACTGGATTACAGGGAGCCCATACCAATTCATCAGTGGAAGTTCTCCTGGCCCCTTTTCCAGGATGTCTCACTCATCAATATGAAGATCGTGGGCTCCCTCAGACCCCGTCTGCTGATGCCACTGAATGCTTGCCACCCAAGCATCCAACTAATGCTACAAGTACGAACTGGAGTGCGTTTAGAGTTCTACAGCCCCATGAACAAGGTTCACCTCCCTTCCCTGCCTTTATCTCCCATGAGGGTGACACTGCCTCTTAATAACGGGTGTATCTTTTTGGACCAGAAGGGCTCCCTTGAAAAAATTAATTATGTAGAATGACTATCAAATTTGGCAACCCCCCTCTGTACTCTTAAATGTCTTTCGTGGAACATAG